CCGTTATAAGAACAATCTCGTTATACGGACATTTTTTGTCTGTCCCACGAGTGTCCTTATAACGGGAGTGACCTGTAATAGGATTTTCTTTTTATTGAAGTTCATCACGTTAATTCCTTGGCTGATACTTATTTCATTTACCTTGGCGAATATTTATTTTATTTATTTTTATTACTCAGTAAGGAAGACAGAATCTTATTATTTTAATTTGTATAATGGTTAGTTATCCCGCGGGTAACATATAAGCCTTGGCGGCCCCTCTCGGTAAGGAGAGGTGCTTACATGACTCGGGGAATAACCGTTTTATGCCCACCCGAGTTTAAAATACTTGATGTAATTTATGAGAAACAAGGATTACTCATTACATAATTTCGGAATAGTCGTTTTAAACCCAGTCAATCAAGGTATAACGAATTTTAATTAATTTAATTTTCATAATAACAATTAATTTTCACGTCAAACAAAAAACCATGAAAAATAAAATTATTGAATAATAAATAAAATAAATGATAAAGTCGTTATACCAAAATCACTTATTGAATTTTATGTTTTTGTGAGGCAAAATTTTTAAAAATTCGTTGTAACGCGAATTTAATTATAATTTCAAATTATTATTCGTAAAAATTACTAATAGTGTTGACATATCAATATTAATATTAAAACCCATTCGAAATTAGTTTAATATTAGTATTAGAAAAATAATTAATTACAATTAAATCTGTGTTGCAACGAATTTTTTGCTTCACATACAAAAATATGAGTAATTTTGGTATAATAATAATAGTAATGAATTTTCAGAACGAATAAATTGAAATTAATAAAATTTCATGCATATCATACCATATTAAGTAATTTTACCTTTGTTTTAATATATAATCATGTGATTCGGTCATAAAGACCGCGTGACTTGATTTTCCCACACTATTTCGAAAAATCAAAAACAAAATATAGACATATGGGCCGGCTACACATCATTAACAACATTTTTATTTATGTCAATATGGAAATATTGCTGTAAAAATTGGCTCATATGAAAGCGTTAAATACACAATGTCACCAAGGGAGATATATAGGTCCATTACGAAGTTGTAATATTAATAGCTTGTGATTGAACCGCAAGAAAAAGTTACTAGCCACATTTATTCAAATAAGCATACTAGATAAGAGTTTAATTATATAATTTGGATACTTGCCACGACCAAGTGATTTTTCAAGTAATATTGCTTCTACCCTATAAAAATTGTTTCAGAAAATGTATGGTTTTTCATATATTTCCGTATACAGTGAACCCTCCATAAGTGTACCCCCTTGGGAATGGATGAGAGCGTGCATTTATGGAGGGATGCATTTATAGAGGAAATAAAAATTATTGTTGTATTTTTTATTTTTATTAATTATTATTACATATTAATATTATTGTTGACTAAAAAATTGATTCATTGTGGTTTGCTATAATAATTCTTGCCTATAAAAGATCCCGGTCCGTTTACTTCATCGACAATCATTTCGTCGATAGTCATTTCGTCGACACCCATTTCGTCGGAAGTTTGTTTCATCGAAAGTTCATTTCGTCGAATGTTCATTTCGTCGAATGTTCATTTCGTCGAATGTTTGTTTCATCGAAAGTTCATTTCGTCGAAAATTATTTCATCCTCAATCCAGAGACCGAAAGAGTTAGATGTAAGGAGTGTGGAAAGTTAGTTAAGAAATTTGGTGAGGAAAGCGGAGTGTGTGGGAAGTGTGAGGAGAAATTTGTTTAATGAAGTTTTTTTTTTGTGACGAAATGAACATTCGACGAAACAAACTTTCGACTAAATGGGTGTCGACGAAACAAACTTTCGACTAAATGGGTGTCGACGAAACAAACTTTCGACTAAATGGGTGTCGACGAAATGACTGTAGACGAAATGATTGTCGACGAAATGAATCAGACCCATTCATTTAATTCTTTATAAGTAACAGTAACTTACTTAACCCTTTATTCTCCATTATTATTATTAAAAAAGAGGTGTGCATCTGTAACAAAGATGATAAATAGATATTAATATATAATGTTTGAATAATTAATTAATGTAACATGAATTTATTTAGCAAATAAATCACGTGAAAGTCATGGGTGCATTTAGAGAGGGTGGTGATTTTATATGAATGGGAATGGGGAATACCGTGCAGTGTATTTATGGAGGGATGCATTTATCTTTTAAGTCCCGAGGTTAGGAATGATACATAGCGTGCATTTATAGAGAGTGTACTTATGGAAGGTTCACTATATCCAATTTTTTTGTACGAAATATGTATTAGTATGGAATTATACACGAAAGTGCCCTTTCCCGTGCATGGAAATGTTCTGAAAAACCGTACTATCACATATCAATATTCAGTACAAAAAAATCAGAATGTACAAAAAATGACCTGAAAAATACTAATACATTCCATACATTTTCTGTAACATTTTCAGTGCTTAGTATTAACATGACATGGAATATTTACTAGCACGGAAAATCTTACAGAAAATGTACAGAATGTGGTTTTCAGGCCATTTTCCGAAACTCTATACATTTTCTGTAAGATTTTCCGTACTAGTACATGGCATGTTAATATTAATATTAAGTCACAAAAAAGGTTACAGAAAATGTATGGAATGTATTAGTATTTTTCAGGACATTTTTTGTATATTCTGATTTTTTTCTACCGAATATTGATATGTGCTAGTACAGTTTTTCAGGACATTTCCATGCACTTTCCATACATTTCAGAGTAAAATATGCATGGAAAAGGGCTCTTTTCGTGTATAATTCCATACTAATACATATTTCGTGGAATATACGAAAATGTATGAAAAGCCATACTAATACCAATGCATTTTCTGAAAAAGGCTAACACGCATCTTTCAATAATGATGTAGTAAACATATAAAATCAAAGCCGACATGAAAATATTCCTTGAAATGCAAATCTTATTTAATTTTCACAAAAAATCGGTTTTTATTGAAAATTATTTTAACATAAATATTTCTTTTTTTAAAAAATACTAGATACTTAACTATTTAACTTATAACAACACACACAACACCACAGCTATTCGTATATCAAATTTGCCACTAAATAAAAAAAATTTAAAATCAAAACGATAACGTAAAAAAAAATCGAATAAAGAGAAGATCAAATAGAGTGAAATCCGGCGCTCTACTTGCAATAAATCGCTAGGAGACGAACCGTTGGTTGGAAAGCCCTTTTTGGAATTCTAATATCATGTAGAACGAATTCCAGGGAAATCCAATGGCCTGCTAGAATAAATCGCTTGGGGGTGAATAGTTGGTTGGGAAAAATCATTTGTTTCGAGTTCCATGAATTTTTTATCCTCAGCATCATCAAATTGACGACTAGTTTCACTGGGATTTGGATTGTCACAGATATCTGATACCCATTTTCCAGTGATTTTAAATAATTGTAGTGCAGTTGGTCGTTTTTTCGGATCGTTGTCCCAACATCTTTTCATAAGATCAGTAAAAATTTTTGGAAAATTGTCTTCGCATATTTTTGGTCTTTTTCCATTTGCAATTATTTCATATGCAAGATTTTCATCATGTGCAATATCTGTAAATGGACGGATTCCAGATCCTAATGACCACATAATTATCCCAAAGCTATAAATATCTGACGCACTTGTATAATGATCACCTAATAAAACTTCAGGCGCTACGTATGGTAAGACTCCGTATATCCTTTTCTTATTCGATGATTCAGCAAGTTGATTCGCCCAAATATTTAAACCAACATCCGTGATTCTTACGTCCAGAAGATCATCTCTATTATCAATCAATATATTTCCACAATGAAGATTTCCATGACACAATTTCTCTCGATGTATGCATTTCAATCCACTAGCAATTAGCCACAAAATTTCAACAATGTCACGCCAACACAGCAATCCTTTTGATTCGTCAAGAAATTTATAGATATTTTCATCTTCATAATATTTTAATACCAAACAATAATTAGATGTATTGTCACGAGTTATACCGAAAAAATCGACTATAGAATTATTTTTTATACATCGATAAAATTCATACAACTATAGACAATAAACTTAAAATTTTAGACAAAACAAATCAAAAAAAAACAAAAACAAAAAAAAAACAATAAAAAGTGAAAACTAGTGATGTTAGCCGTTTAAAAATCCTTATCTGGCTGAGCCGTTTACTATTATCTCTATTACCAGAAGGTACCGCGTAAATTTATACCAAATTATATATGCAGATTATTAGCCGGCCAACTTCACTAGTGAAAACAATAAAAATAATTTTTATTTACTTTGTTTATAAACTCTTGACTGAGATTTTTCGAATTTTCAATTCTTTTGAGGGCAACTTTGATTGGGCCATTTCTATTATAACACTCTAATTCCCGGTCCCACATTGTAAGAGGACCTGATATCCACAACGCAGAATAAATTTCACCAAAAAACCCTCTACCATGGTATTCTACAAGATCTATATCGTCCCAATCGATCCACTCCCAAAAGTCGTGATAGGTCGAGTTTACCTGTGTATACCTAATAAGTTTGTCGATTTCCAAATCACCACTTGTCCAAATATCGAATCGCTTTATGTGGTAATGATGTTGGCAATTAATACAAAAATTTAGATTTGTTCGGATTTTATGACATTGGGGGCATTGGTTATAAGCATTGCGATTATTATTATTATTACCGCTACTAAACTTCTTCTTTTTCTCATTGCCTATGTTGATTTTGGCATTGGGTTTTTCATTGAAATTTGATTTATGCATTTCAAAAAACAAAAAATTCAATCTTAAAAAAAACAAATTCATTTTTTTTGGCCTCCTTTTATAAAAAAAAAGATTCCATTTTCTCTGACCTTTTTATAATTTATAAAATCACAAGGCCATCCACAAGTTTTGACTTTTGTTTCAGGATTTATATCTTTTCGAGAATCAAAAACCAATTACGTTCATTTAATCCACCTTTAAAATAGAATTTTCTTTTTTAGTAACCCAATATATTTATATTTGTGTAACAACGTGTAAATTCAAATTTTGATTGGAACGTGATGATGTTACATCTGCACATCCCCATTCAATTTTCAACACTGGTCGAGATGTTTTAAAGTACACATATAAACTCGATAAGTCGGTCATGTGGGAGTGGGCTCATATGATCGACTTATCGAATTAAATTACTTAAATATTAAGAAAAAGGGATGAAACCGGCTTATCGAGTGACCGACTTATCAAGTGACCGACTTATCAAGTTTACATATGTAACCAGTATTCGGCATATATAGAGATATTTGATTTTTGACTGAACCAACATGCTTGTTTAAGGCCAGCCATTTGTAACAGATAGTCATTACTTTTCTTTTTAGACTTATTTCTAGAGGAATTTTTTGAAGAAGGTTTCATACTTTGATACGACATATCAAAAAGCCCTTTTAACGAAGGATCTCTTTCTTCAATCATTTTTACAAATTCATTAGGATCATTAATAATTCCATTTTAAATCAGAAAAATATATACTATCTAAAAATTGATTATTTAATTATTTAAAAACAAAATAATAATAATAATAATCAAATTAATTTATTTAAATAATATTAAACTAATATTTAATTACCTTTAATATATTCACTTGATAGTCTAGTAATCTTCTCTAATTCTGCCTTTAATTCTATAATTAAAATTTGTAAACTAAATTAGTATTTGCTTCCATTTCAATTGGTTTTCTCATTTTATATGTTGCATCTTCAGGTTTTCTTTTATATCTATTATATCTATCATGCTATATAAGAATTATACATTGAAAACATATTCTTTTAGCTATATTTAATTCATGACCCACTAGTCCAACCTTTTCTTTTCCTTGTTCTGAAATATTTCGCCACTTAAAGCCATCTTTTCTATTTTACAAACGGAACAAAAACCAACAGGCATTTTAATAATGACTTGTAATCAAGGAAGAAAAATTATTACTTCGAATGGATCAGGGAAGATTGAAAGTAAAAAGAGTATATTTGTAAAATTTGATAGTTGTTGTGCCCTCTAAAACAATTGAAAAATGATCGACATAATATAAATAACGTCATGCATGATAAATAAATATCTCGGTAAATTTGAACTAATATGTATGTTACACCATATGCAAACATTCCCCACAATATCTTACTAAAAATGGATCCCTTGTGATCTTTTTCTTTCAATAAAGACCATTTAACCAAATTTGTTTATTGGAGCATTCTTAAAATGGGACATTTTTATTACTAATTTGATATAAAGATTATTATTAGAATTAGAATTAGTAATAGAAATATCCGAATATCCGAATGCTCAAGAGTATTTATGGATCATATCATTTATGGAAAAGGTCCACCCCATTACACGCGTTAAAATGGTGAATATTAATTTTACTTCTTTTATTTCTCGGTTTCCAGTTAAGGAAAACACTGTGGGAATAAAAGGTTGCTTATTATTTAATTAAGTTGTATAAGGAATTTTAATTAACTAAATTTTCATAATTAATCTCCAATAATGTCAAAATACACACAACTAAAAATACACGTTTCAGTTAAATAATAATATGAAAAATAAAATAAATGGATAATAAATGATAAAGCAATAATATAATGAATAAAATATACATATTTATTATTCGTAAAATTACTATGTATGAAATAGAGTTGTCTTCCAAAACTAAAAACCTTCTCGGAATTGGTATATAAATGGTTTTGGGAGCTTAGAAAGGCAACTCAAGTATGAAAACCTATTTTATTCGGTGATAATTATTTATCAAAAGAGTATATTTTTTTTACACGCGTCTGATTTTTCCATTCATACAAAGAATTTTTAGCAACCTTTATTGTTTTATCAACCTTTTATGATGTTTCAATGAATGAAATCAAAAAAGAAACTTGACAATAGTAAACTTTTTTTATATATAATTCAAAAGTCTAGATGTTCAAATTTGCCTGTTAATTAATTTGTTTTCCTTTTTAAGATTTAATAATCATTACTTTGTATTAGTTGTAAATTATCAAATTGGTACTCAATATACAAATTTAATTTTTCTATTGTCAATAAGTCTCTTTGTTTGGAACAATTGGTTCGGTCTGCGAAAAATCTTTATATTGGAAAAACAGTCCATTTTTCCGTATGATTTGTGTTTACCAAACAGAAAATATACTATTACTATATTAATATAGTACGGAACGTTTCCATATTAGTATTTTTTTTATACGGGAACGAACGTAATTTACAGAAAATTCATAGAAAACACAGATACAATGTTTTCTATATTTATCGCAACATTTTTCATGCCAAAAACATCTGAAATATCCGAGAACAACAGAATGTATGTTTTTAGTGTGTTTCTGTAAATTGCGCTTATTTCCGTATAAAAACATACTAATACGTAAATGTGCAATTTTGCAGGAGGATTGCGTGCTAGTAAATTTTCCGTGTTTTCTGTGGAAGTTTTTTATAGGTATAGATTGATTGATCTGAATAATAAATTAATTTTTGCATACAAACGTACAAGTAAAACTTTTTATAGATTTTTCTATCTAAAAAATACAACAATAATTTTTTTGTATCGTTTTATAGAATGAGTACAAGAGGCTAAATTTGTGATCAATTATTAAAATGAATTAAATGTGATGATCGACGGTCTTTTAATGCATTGTGTGATTCATACATTTTTATTGCTAAATTTGGAAATTGACATTGTAATTATAGAATTTTAAATTGGGGATTCCGAATACGTATTACTATGATAAAAAAAATTTATATCAACATTGAATAACAACTTTTTTTAATGATTTGTTATTCGCATCCCACGTGACTAAGACAAAGATAAACCAATAAAATCATCGCATTTTAAGCCATTCATTGGTCAAATTACTACACTTAGTCACGCGGGGTTTGCGAATAATAGTTGCCTTTTTTTATTATTGGTTTATTAGTTTATTGGTTTATTATTTAGAATATTCCCTTATTTCGTCGTTTGAGCTGTCAAAATTGCCGAATTTGGAAAAAGTAATAAAAATAAGTAGCAAAAGTTAATTATTTCATAAAATTTGTAATGTATTAATTTTAATAAATTTATTTTATACGAATGATTAATTTTAAATCCCCGCCACCAATGATTATTATTACATTCGGAAGGTAATAGCATTTATTTATTTTTATTTATCAACGGCTAAATATGATTTTATAGGAGGTGTATCATTTTATTTTGTACATGACAATCTTTGATTATATATATATATGTATATAATAGATACAATTGCTTTAGATAAAAGATTCTCACCAAGGTCTTCATTAACAAGGGAAGCTAAAATTAATTGCTTTTGATGACCCAAAATAATATGTGGTCGATCTAGGCATTCATGCTTAGTGTTGATTCATGTAGCTTACTGTTTAGAGACAAAGATACGAGAATACCCTCTTTAACGTAACTAGAAATGACTTATTAAAGAACGGATTACAATATTCTGATGAACGTATTCTAAAGGGGCTAGTGCAATTTAAGTGATGAATTATAGGGTGCATCAAGGTGTCAACAATTGTTATAAATCAGAACATATAATTTCAATAAAAGTTTATTTGAAAGTTAATTTTAAAATTGCATTACTTTTAAAATTGTATTACTTTAAAATATTGAATTACTTTTAAAATTGCATTACTTTTTAAAATTGTATTACTTTAAAATATGTTGTTTTAATATAAAAAGCTCTCAAAAAGTTTTAGTATTATAATTGATCTATGATTTATTTGTCAAACATTAGTTTCAATAATAATAATGACCAGGAAAGTTTTATTAACAAAATTAGAGAAAGGTATCAGTCCGAATACACAACCAAATATTTATACTTTAAATGAATAATTTCAAAATTTTTATTTTTAAACTGCATGGTTTCTTAATGGTTCAATAGAACCTTCTCTTTTCTTGACGGATGAAGCACATCTGCCTCTCCTAAAATCTGAGATATTTGTTTTTTATAGGTGTATATATAAATTACTATTCCCAGGTTGCTCATTCAATAGTGCTTTTGATTTGACCCTTTGTTCAAAGCATAATTGTACGAAACGCTTAAACTTGTTGCCAATTTCAAAAGTATCACCAACTTTCAATGAATATGCGACATGATCATTGTCGACTTCTTCACCACTAGAGAATAAAAAAATTGAATCTATATTTAAATAGGTAGAGTAAAATTAGACATGTTTATTTGAAGTACTACATATAAATAAATAATCGCCTTTATTTAATATTAAACGATTTTTGTTAATAGCGCATTTCAACTTAATTTGTATCTCATCATTAACCACGAGATGAATTGACGAATTGTTGTAAGTGAGATGATTGTAGATCAAGATGAGAATAAATAATTGGTTTAGATATAATTAGAGATGTGCCGCGCATAGTGTGCTATGCATATGGTTTTAGATTTATTTTTTATAGACATTTACTTATTAATATAAACATTTCTAAAAAAAAAAATTAAATATGCCATTTACTTTATGCGCATTTATGATATTCCCCTCACTATGATATATATACACTATGTGCACTATGATACTATGCGGACTATACGCACTATGCGCGAAAAAAAATTACGCTTACTATGAATGGCACATCTATAGATATAATAAACGATCTTTTACTCTCGACTTTTCACATGGAGTTAAATGAAATTACTAAAATCAGAATACGAATCATCATTGTAATTAGTAATGAGTTCTATTTAAACAAGAGAGAAATTTATTTGAATGCATGTAAAAATAATTCAAGCATTATGTTAATTCGTATTCATTACTATCACTACTGTATCCATTTGATTTATGAAAACAAGTTAACACAAAAAATATGTATGCCATTTGAAATAATTGATCCTTTAGGTTTTCTACCAATTTAATTTGTTTAAGCTAAGGATTTTGAATGTATTACTATAATTAATGCTACTATTGCAAGATTCAGTTACATATGTAAACTTCCAGAATGACAATAGTGTACAGAGAAACTCATAAATGGCTTCAGGTTCGGGTATTCTTTTCACATAATTACTCTGGCAAGTTCATAATCAATCACTTGCTATATTGGTTCCCTTGAAATTAAAATATTAATAATTAAAGTTACACTTATTTCGGTGGAATTATTATCGCCTACCCTGATACTTGTAGTATCTGTGCAAAAATAGAACATTTTTTATTAAAATAAATTCGTTCCAAACAAAATAATTAACGACAAGATGTTGCCTAAATTCTTGTTTAAATTGTTTAATATTATTAATAATAAAAAGCTTACCAATAGAAATAATCATATTATTTAATCAATTAATGATTTGTTATATTTGTTTAATTAAGGACACCGGTTTTTTGTTTGAAGCGAGGTTACTTAGTTGAAATATAAATATGTAGATATTCGATTGACACCCCTGATTTACCAAAAAAAAATAGTTACGCATTGCAACACGCAGCAAAACAATGAAATGAAACCAATTATTTTCAAGTTACTTTTGATTTGTGGAAGTTGGTGTCACGAATTAATAACGCTGCGCCTTTGACCATTGTTCATTATTTGACTACCAATGATATTAAATACATTAAATTTATTCGTTCGTTTTATTCGTTTTATTCGTTTTATTCGTTTAGTCGTTTTATTCGTTTATTCATTTATTATTATTCGTTTTGTTCGTTTTATTCGTTTATTCGTCTACTCGTTTACTCGTTATATTTGTTTATTCGAATTATTAATTTTATTCGAATTATTAAAATTGTTTGTTTTATAAAACATAAAATATTAATTCACAACTTGATATAACAAATTCTATTTTATCATTGTTGTTATTGATAAGAGATTTTATTTTAACTATTTGTAAATTATAATAAGGTTTTATTCCTTTAACAAGATAATATAAATCACAATATTTATTTATAGTCTATATTACTACTACTATGGTCGCTAATGCTGGTTTTCCAAAACTATAGAGTGCGAAAGTCGAAACTGGTTTTAACTTTTATTTTTTTTTTAATTAATTTAGATTTGATTTAGATTTGACATATAACTTTTAATTTTAGATTTGACTTTTGCCTCTTCAAAATAGTTTTAAGAAAAGAAAAATGCCAATTACTTTTGCTGCTACTATTATTATTACTATCACTATATACGAGACTATGAAGGAAAAATAGGTTGATGAGGAAAAAATAGTTAAATTGAATCAAATTAGCAGTATATTATTTATTATTCATTTATTCGAATCATTTGTTTTATTAGAATTATTATTCGAATCTTTCATCACTACCATCATAATCATGAAATTCAGAAGTGCTGCATTTGTACAACCACATATAGTGGAATTGGAAAAACTTTAAAAAATTATATCTGACGATGAATAATAGCAGAAATGGTTAAAAACTAGCTTTAATTGTTGGAACAGATAATTTGGTTTTTTTTTATTTTATTATATTGACCAATAAAATTATAAAACTGCGGTTAAACTTGAACTGGCAGTTTATAAACTGAACCGTTCCCTACTTAACTACCAATACCATGAAATGCATTTAGTATATAGTATTAGAAAAACGTATTCTGTATCAAAAATACGTTTCTCCATATGTACTGCGTATTAGTACTATAATTTTTTATAGGACTGTAATTTGATTGTAATATCAGTAATTTTATAATGTCTTTTTGTTTTCATCGCTTCTTGTTTATGATAATTAGTCTGTTAGATAAGTACTAGGTTATTTTCAATTTTTTTCTTTTGCATACACTTGCCAGGATCTTTTAACTTGCTAGTCATTTTTCTTGTAGATAAGTTTAGGGGACAAGTTACATTTGCAATTGAGATCTCGGGTCACTCGTTTTCCAAAAGGAAAGCAAACCGCTAAATTTCACCACATCAAACTTTTCTTACCTTCTTTTCCCTAATACCAACACGATAATCCATTGCTACCGTTTCTTGGTAAATTTTCCGATAGCTTTCAAATCTTTCATGTGCCACATGTTTCCCCGGTTGAGAATTGTAAACATTCATCCCAAATTTTAATGTGCTTGCTGCCTGCCTTTTCTTTTAGCTACCTCTTTGATAAAACAATGAAGACAGTTGATGTTGTTACTTAACATATATTTCTTTTTTATAATCTTGTACTTTTAAGATTGCATCGCCCAAATATTAATTATCCCTTAAAGAAAAAGAGACACTGATGCTAAGATTATGCAAAAACGAAAATTTTAAGGAACCAATTTTGGAAAAAAATTTAAAAATAATTTTATTTTCCTTTTCTGATTGCATACCAACCATTACAAGTCATGGAGTTTATTAAAACTATTTCCAAAATCAATAAAATAAATAAATCCAACATATTGAACTCAGGTGTCAGATTTAATAGAATCAATTTTGATTACTACGCAAGATCATCCTTTTGCTTGATTACAAATTCTTGAACAAGGTTGCTTGCCGAAAACTCTTAGTGACTGTCAAAATTCTGTCGAAACTCTAATGAACAATTAGTATGTGTCTTGTCAAAATTCTGACAATTGACAAAACCCCCAAATGCGAAACTCTGCCGAAACTCTAATAAACAATTAATGTGTAACCTGTCGAAACTCTGTCGATTGATTTCTGGAGGAGTTTCGCCCACAACCTTACATGAGATAGGCCCTCTTCAAAAATCATAGTCCTGCAATCCGCCTTGAATTCCATAAAAATTGCATCTTTTTAGGCTAAATATGGTTGGTTTAGCCTTTTTTTTTTTCAAGAATGATCGAAATGAGGAACAAAAGAACGAATATGAATTGCTCAGAGAATTCATGAAATGCAAAATTTTGTTAAACTGAATTTCATTTGAAACCAAGGTTGGGTGACAAAAATATTTTGGAGTGTAAAAGGTATTTCGTCAAATGGGGCACATGTGACGGAAAGTGACGAAAATGACAAAGGGTAAAGTCAAAAGTCAAATTATGCTAAAGATGACAAAATATAAAATTCAATTTTATTTAGATTTAATTAAAACAAAAATTTAATTTTAACATTTTTTTTTGCATCGTAAATCATTGGGGTGTCTCACATCATATGATTTACAAACATAGTTGATCACATATATAAATTTTCATTAATAACATTAATAAGGATTTTTTTGGTGCCACAAAATTTATTATACAATATAGATTCACTTTTTGATGCTTTTTAAACTAATAGAGAGCTTTTTACAATTTTACTTGCATAAAATTTTGTAACATATATACTTTGATTTTCTAGCTTAAAATAAATGCCATTGTTTATATTAAAATAAAAAAAAGGGCTCTATTACTTTATTGTCCTATTTCTCTAGTATGTTTTAAACTTAACTCGGAGTCAGTATCTCTATTCTTTAAAGAGTTATAATCATTCAAAGTTTACTATTGAAAAAAAGATCGGCAAAAAATTGTCATATACCGAGGTATGATTAATTAATTACCAATGTATATACAATGTTTTTATTTTCTATATATAGTAATTGTACACATACTCACAGAATTACTTACCAACGTACTCAATAGTATATTTATACTATTGAGTACTTTAAACAATTAATTACTGCGGGCTGACTTGTGTGTAATAATAGAAAAGATTTTTTTTGATAAAAAATTAATATACACAATTTTACTCAGTACCAACTCTGAAAACATCCACGCACGTATTTCTATCTTCTTTTTTGAGATGAAAAATCAATATAAAAATATGTGCAGTTTTCCAATTTTTCCTAAAAAAAAAAAAAAATCAAACCCGTTTTTTTTTTAAAAAAAATTCAAAATGTCTAATCAACAATATAATCATATTCCATTTTTAAACAGCAATGATAATAATAATAATTATAATAATAATAATAATAATAATAATAATAACAATAGTAGTAGTAGTAATAATAATAATAATAATAATAATACAATGCCGCCATCCCAACAATTATCATTCTCTCCGCCCCAACAACAACAAACTTTATCTTTTTCGCCTCAACCTCAACCACCTCAACTATCTCAAGCTATATCATTCTCATCTCAACCGCAACAACCACCTCAACTACAACAGCCACCCCAACCCCAACATTTATCATTTTCATCTCAGCCGCAACAGCCATCTCAATTACAGCAGTCACTCCAACCACAACAATATTTATCATTCTCACCTCAATCACAACAATTATCTCAACTACAGCAGCCACTCCAACCACAACAACATTCACCATTTTCATCTCAGCCGCAACAACCGCCTCAACTACAACAGCCACTCCGACCCCAACATCATTCATCATTCTCATCTCAACCGCAACAACCGCCTCAACTACAACAACCACCCCAACCCCAACAACATTCATCATTCTCATCTCAGTCGCAACAACTACCTCAACTACAACAGCCATCCCAACCACAACAATATTTATCATTTTCACCTCAACCGCAACCACAGCAGCCTTTATCATTCTCACCTCAACTACAACAGCCACCCCAACCACAACAACCTTTATTATACTTATCTCAACAGCAACAACCACGTCAACTACAACAATTTTTATACAACAATAATAATAGTAATTATTATGACAGTAATCTCAATTCAAATCCTAATCCTGTTAATTCAAACATTAACAATATTCCTTTATTGAATTCTAATAATAATGGTATCAAATATAACAATAATTCTTTAATTCTTTCTATTTCTCATCGTATGTCACTTATTAAGGATTATATGCTAATAAT